GAGGGGAGGGGAGGGGAGAGAGAGTGGCCCTAGAAACTGGAAGCAGCCCTCAGTTAACAAGAAGTGCTCTGTGGAGCAGGCCGACTTTCCAGCCAACCAAATCTAAGTGGGCCTTTTGTCGCTTACTTAAAATAGGCACGCAGTAACTGGGAGAAGGCACACACGCACATCCACCAACCACGCACAAAACACAACATCTCAACAGGAAAACAAAATGTTACAATCTTCTGTACATTTATGTTTTACAAAAGTTCCGCTATTCTTCTTTTCCCTTTTGTTGTTGCTTGTTACTCTCTTTATGGATAACAAGGTTGGACTGAAAACCAGGTTTTTGGCACAACCTTTGAAACTTTTGCTGTATTGATTTGAGCTGGGTCATTGTGTTTATGTGTTGTGTTGTGTGTGGTGTTGTGTGGTGTGCCTGTGTGTGTGTATAAAAAAAGAACTAAAAAGTGTTTCAGGAGTTTGTGTCTTGCCCCCGCCCTTCAGTCCATCCATCCAACCCCACTGCCAAAGTGCTCCCGCAGGTGCAAATGACTGACAGCTGAGAGTGGCCCATGCACAGGAACATTATAAATAGCCCTAACAGGTAATAAAATGTTTAAACAGCCACAGCCAGTCCAGGGCCTCTGGGCCAGCCAACGACAGTGCTTTTAACTAACACCGTAAAAACATAACTGCCACGCAATGCACTGCACTCACACACCACCAGACTATGCAGACCACCACCGGTACTGGCCATGAAAATGAACTTCTGTTCGACATGTAACCCACTAATGATATCACACATGAAGAACATTTCTCTCCTGAGAAGAAAACCTGAATGTCAAACAAGATTTTATCAATTTTCTTGCCTTCAAGCCTACACAATCATAAATGGAAATTCACTAGTAATCATGTTCATCATGCTCGGTTTCAAAAAACCGTGCTCTCAGCTAAATTAAGAAGCAATGCAGACACCAAAATCAACAGTAATTTGTACCATTTTATTAACTGTAAAAACAGAATGTAAATATTAATCTCTGAGAATCTTTTGCAGGAGGACTGACATCCTCTGCAGCTGCAGATCTCAATCAAACTGTGCCTGTTTCACTGTTGTATAACAAAGATAATCAGAAACTGTGTTACAGTTAAACCACTTGACCAGTGCACGATTAAATACTCTTAACTTGCTTTAGCCATGTTGGTAATTACCTCCAGTTTACCGTATAGCCCTCTACAACTGCAGAAGTTGCAAGTCTCAACACCTTTCTTCAAGCTATTAATAGTTCGGGTCTCGGGGGGTTCAGTTCATGTCCTGCACAACCAACAGACTTTAATGTTCTGCAACCAGCAACAAATGCTGCACAAAACAGCAGCAATGCAATGCTAAAAAGTCTTCCATGTCTTTGTTAAATATGAAAAATAATATCCTACCATTCTGTACTGTACCAATAAAAAAAACAGCATTTTAAAGCTTTGTGTATGATGAAAAAAAAAAAAAAAAAAGTAACTACCTGGAGCTGCCTGACTTTCACTCCATTCACTGGTCACCAGAACCTCGATGATCTTGATGTGAGCATCCAAGCTGGGTTCGCAACTGTGGAGGGAGAGAAAACGAAGGAAGCAAGTTAAATAAAGTCTGTGTTTTATAGCCCAGGTGACCGGTCTCTGCTGCTCTGGTTGCTCTGTGCTGGTTTCAATCTGATGGTAATTCAGGCTTAGCTACTTTAATTGCACAGCTGGTAAGTAGAAAAGCTCCAACCTATATCCGAGTACAGCTGAAACCCATGAGTGCCTGACAGACTGAGCTCTGACAGTGTGTGATTGTGTGTGTGTGTGTGTGTGTGGGCTTGCCTGAATGTGTCTGCAAGTGTGCATGTTTGAGAGCCTCCGTGTTGCATGACTGAGCCTGCACACTTGTTTGTCTGTTGCCCGAGTGTCTATCTTTGTGAAGAGTATGCAGCAGCGAGCCATGATCCGGCTGCTCTGGCACCCACCTGGTGGCCTGTTGTCTGAAAAACACAGGGCTGAAGATCTCGCCCAGGGCTCTGGCGCTGAGCAGGTTCTTGGAGCAGTTTTGGCACACTCTAGCGAAATGCCTTAGCAGACAGTGGAGAGTTAGCCAGTATTGGGGGGGAAGGCTCGGGGTGCTGGCGATGCAACGTAGCAGCTGGGCACATTCCTCAGGATTTGCCACCTCTGTAGAAACGGAAGAAAACGAGCAGAAAGGTCAGCGAGACCGATGTGAAAAATGAATCCTTCCTCAGCTCGAGAGCAGCATGAAATGAAAGATGTTTCTTTAAAACAATGAGATGGAAAAAAGGCGTCATCTGCAGTTAGGTTTTGAAACCACAGAGAGATTGTGGTTGACAATGAGCGTAAGGTACACTGGCAGGTGATTGGCTGCTCAGAGATGCTAGAGATAAACTTTCAGGCTTGTTTTAGTTCCTATTAACCACAGATATCCTGTTTCTGGCCTTGTGACAGCAAGAGAATGCAGCGCTACAGAACAGTGCGTGGTGTGATAATTCTGTCTGCGCTTGCAACCGAGAGAGCAAGACAGACAGGGAAGACAGACAGTTGACTAGAATGTGAGAAAATACACCAATTGTATGCTTTATGGGTAGTGTAAGAAAATGCACATAAAAACTTTAAAAAAAAAAAAAAAAAAAAATACAAGAGTGTTCTTTGTGGGGCAAAGGGTACTTGACAACGTTTTGTGGTTTTGTGTTCAAAGTACTGAATGTTCAATCAGGGTTTGCATTACGTCAGCGCTTCTGCTTTGGACTAACTGTGCAAATGAGCACTGAATCTGTGCTGGGGGGGG